GGAAACAAGCATCGAATTTCGCTTCATTGTGACAACTCTTCGAGTGGCACGAGACGACAACGGCTCTGTCTATCTCAAATGAAAAAAATAAGCTGGGATCTTAAGTCACATTTTGTCCAAGAGAGACTGCACTTTCATCTCACGTGAGTTCGCTTTGGCTCGAATCCCGCAGAGAGTGCAAAAAAACCAAGGATTGGTCGGATTGTAGTTCAATGGGTAAGAAAATGCCCTTTTTGACTTGATTTGTTAGTAAGAAAAGTTGACGATTACATAATCTCTTTGGTTAAGTTGTCGAAATAAATTTTGATTTGGAGTAAAAGTGTGTGGCGAAGAGATTCGAAGCTCAGCTTTAGGAGGAGACGAAAGAGAACTCTTTTAAGTCAGCTGTTGTTTTGTTCTATTGAACCATTCTGGCTGGTGGAGTCCGCGAGGCAATTCTCTTTGAGTTCAGTGAAAATGTGCTGAGTTTTCACTTGCACCGGAAGAGAGAGCACAAACCAGAACTTTAGAGTAGATACAGACGACAGCTGTCCATCGTCTTCCGGTAGGACCGGCTTTGGAATCTCGTCATCGCATACTTTCACTCGAAATGGAAATAAGCCCAACACTTTTTTGCTGAAATAATTGGCACAGGCAAGAGTTCTTTTCACTCAATTTAGGGCACTGGATTTTTAGTCTAAGGAAGGCAGAAAGAATGACGCTGTACATTGGACATCGCCCAATTATTTTCATATTAAAGCAAATCTGATAGCCATTGGTCCCTATAACGTGGCAGCACTTGGCAGAAGGGCAGTTGGGAGAAGGCGAATAAGTGGAATAGAAGACATAATTAGGAGACACTATCATTCAATCACTGCTTAAAAAATGGTATATTGTGCTACAAATACTTGGAATTTTACTTTGGGAGTTTCAAACTGGAACCTTTATGAAAGTGTATAAATAAAACCTGTAAAAAGATGATAAAAGGGATCACCTGAAATAAAGTTAAAAGTCATTTCAAGTACAACTGATGCAAAGGAATAATGGGCAAAACAGCCGGAACTAGCCATTAAAAAAAGGAATGTCACCTGGTGGGGTTGTAGAGCAGAACTTTCTGACTGACTGTTCGGACCAAAACGCTTCTTGAGACCCCGACGAGTTGGCCGGACAACAACTCTACAATACTAACCGGTCTATCTAGACCATTAGGATCATATTGTAGATGGTTTTACAAGAGTCGGTAGTAAAAGCACTGACGATAAGATTTT